TGTGTGTGTGTGCTTGTGTGTGTGTGAGTTTGGGGGGTCTGTGTGCATATGTACTTGTGTGTGTGTATGTGTGTGTGTGTGTGTAGGGGTGGTAGGTGTGTGTGTGTATGTTGTAGGGGTGATACGTGTGTAGAGTGGGGGGGTAGGTGTGCGTGTACGCGCGCATGTGTGTGCGCGTGTGTAGGTGTGTGTAGGTGTGTGTGTGTACGTGTGTGTAGAGGCCACTCTCTACTGCATCTTCTGAGACAGGCTCACAGAACCTGGTGCTTGTCCATCCCATGAGACAAGCGGGTCGGTGAGCTGCAGGGAGCCTCCTGTTCCGAATGTTTCCTCAGTAGGACTTCAAATTAATTGTGTCTCTATACGAAGACCAAGAGAGCAATTTTTCTATTCATTTCTTAGGGCTGCCTTTCAAAAGCACCACAGAGCGGACAGTTTAGCAGTCCTTGTGTGTGCAGCTGAGTCTTGTGTGGCCCAACAGGGCCTCAAAGTCTCTCTAGTGCAGGCGACCCTATGCAGGGAGACCCTGACTCAATCCAAACAAAAAAGTGCATAAGAAAGTGCTTGGCTGCCTTTGCTCCCCTGGGGTTGCCCCTGTCTCTAATGTGTGGTTCTCCTTTCTTAGCATTTCTTAGTTTTTGTCTTCTCTCCCCTAGTGGGTACAGGGACCTGTTTCATGGACCCCACCGTGTCCTTCTCAGAGTAGGGGGAGCAGTTATCCAGCGATTACCTGTGATTCATGAAGCTGTCCAACAGGCAGCCAACAGGATGCTAAGGTTTGGGAATAGACCGCAAAAGAGGGACAAAATTGTTCCTTCATGAAGGGGACTCCCCCACAGACCCCAGATTACACCTGTTTTCACAGTGAGATCCTTTATTAAGCAGGAAGAAAAGTTAAAGTGGCTACTTTCTGACTCAGGCAGAAAAACAGCAGCAAATCCTTGCAGGTGTAATTTTTAAGAGGAGGAAAAGGGGAGGTCTGTGTTATAATGGGCTAGGATGCAGTGGTAGAGGAGAGAGTTGATGAGGGAAAAGGGGAGGGGCACAAGGTAACAGGGCAGATTTGTCCCAAATGGGGAGACAGAGAACTGCCTCTGGATAGAGGAGGCAGACACAGCGCACAGGCAAGGGGGGTTTATAAAGGGAAAGTGGGAAATCCAGTGTTAGGATGAGGTGTTTAACTTTAACTGGGCATGTTAATTAGGTGAATCAAAGGGGACTTTGATAGCTGAACTTTGGTAGTCAGCCTCAGGCAAAATTGGGGAATAGACCTTGGTGGCTAGCTTTAGGAATATAATCTACCGGGTGTTTTTTAGCCAGGCAGAGGGAATGGAGAAAAGGGCAAAGCCTGCCAGAGCCATCCTCACCTTGCTTAGATGGCCAGAATCCCTTTACTTGCCTTATTTATTTTTGGCAAGCTGTAGAATCCATCAAACAGTAGAGTATTCAGAAGTTGAGGTACACTTCTGATCTTGGACAAGAACCGGCAGGCAGGCAGGGATGGCGCTGAGCAGCTGCTGAGAGAGCCACAGAAGCAGAGGGCTAGGTGACAATGGCTGGTGGCCTTTGAAACCTCAAGGCCCTCCCCCAGTGGCACACTTCCTGCTCCCTCAGAGTTCCTTCACCTTTGAGACCACCCTCCCCTATCCCGGGATGTGAGCTAATCCTGTATGTGTGAGACCATGGCATGCATTTGTCTATTTTTGTCTTCCAAAATATCAGTGAGACAAGGCTTGGAACTAGGTGTTGGTGGGGCACGCCTTTAATCCCAGCACTCGGGAGGCAGACGAAGGCAGATCTCTGAGAGTTCGAGACCAGCCTGGGCTACAGAGCAAGTTCCAGGACAGGCAGGGCGACACAGAGAAACCCTGTCTCAAAAAAAAAGAAAAAGAAAAAGAAAGAAAGGAAGGAAGGGTTAGTTATTATGCAGTACCGTGTTATTCATTAAGCAGGGCTGTTTACCGTGTGAGAAAAGCCAGGAGGCACAACAAAATGCAATAAAGAGTTTATTAGGGGAAGGAGAACAGAGGGGATGTGCTTAGTTCTATTGAAGATCGTGCAGGGAGAGAGAGGGAGGTAGTAAGTGATTCGCTTTTTATGGATTTCCCCACACATGCGAATAAGGGCTTACGTAGGCAAGGCAGGCATGCACATAGATTACATGATCATGCTTCGCACAAATTACGTGAAGAAACACCACACGAATAACGTAGGACATAAGGCCCCAGAATCACACTGTCTTGTCAGCCTATGTGTGGTTATGGGGGAGTGGCTAGGGAGGGAGGGAGGGAAGGAGGGAGGGAGGGAGAGAGAGAGAGAGAGAGAGAGAGAGAGAACAAGGCTTGGAATGCTGGCTGCTCATGAGAGCTGGCTTCAGGGACCCCACCCACCTCTAATTTGTCCATGGGTGTCACACCTGTTTCATTTTATGAGAACTCCCTAAAATACCTAAAGGATGGTACATACAAATGCCCATTAGTCTCCACAGAAATGCTGGGGATGACATTCTGTTTCTGCCCTTCTGATAGCTGAGTGTGCACACAGTGGTTTAGGTGTTGGGACCAGCATCACATAACCAGCTAAACAGTAGATTCTTCCCAGCTGTGTGTGAGGAACAGTGTGTGCACATTTACATGCTGCCCAGGGCGCCTTTGTGAGTCCTTTTATTGTTGTTGTTATTATTATTATTAGTTTTTATTATATGTGCATGAGTACTTTGCCTGCATGCATGTATGTACACAACGTGTGAGCAGTGCCCAAGGAGGTCAGTAAAGGCATCAAATCCTCCAGAACTGGAATTTCAGATGTTTGTGAGCCTGCATGTGGGTGCTGGAAACAGAATCTAAGAGCAGCCAGTGCTCTTAACTGCTGACCATCTCCACAGCCCAAAGCAATATATTCTTTGTTATATATTTTACTAGCATAAAACCACAGTTGTGTATACATACTCTTTTTTATGTCTCCCCCCCCCCAGACATGGTTTTCCTAGATATCTTGGAACTCATGTGTAGACCAGGCTGGCCTTGAACTCACAGAGATCTGCCTGCCTCTGCCTTCGGAGTGCTGAAATTAAAGGTGTGTGCCACCACTGCCTGGCTCATAATGTAATTTTTAAATAACACTGTGACATTGATTCTCTCATTGTTAACTGTCTTCATTTATGGATGACAGACTTGGAGGCCCAGGCAGGGAGGACCAAAAGTTCAAAGCTAACCTGGGTCACATACATATCAAGTTACAGACCAGCCTTGGCTAGATGCTGAAACCCGTCATCCACAAGGACAAAGACAGAGCTGATGCACAGAGATACTCAGTGTGCTCCCGGTTACCCAGGTGAGGAGTGGTGGTGCTGTCTGTCACAGACTCTGAGCGCACACAGTGCTCTCCTCACCCGGGGACTTCCTACTCCCTCTCTACTGTCTGCAAAACAGAACCCTCGTCCTGAGACCCATAGTGTTATGAATGAACTGTGTGTGGCTGGCATGGGTCTCCTTCCCAGGGTCCTGAGTAGACAGGGTGAGCTGTGACTGACTCCAGCTCGCTCTCTTCATCAAGCCGCACTGAACGGTGGACACCGTGGCCGATGCGGTAAAGCAGTCACGTGGGCCACACCCCTTTGACCACACGCTCACAAGCTGTCTTCTCTCCCTAAGTGTTTTCCCCAGACTCAGCTGTGCCCCAAGAACAACAGGGTGACCAAGGTCAAGGTGAGTTGAGCTTTTTCGTTTGTTTTTTGTTTTGTTTTGAGACTGGGTCTCACTATATAGCCCTGGCAGGCCTGGAACTCCTTCCTAGACTAATCTGATCTCGAACTCACAGAGATCCGCCTGCCTCTGCCTCCCCAGCCCTGGGATTAAAGTCCTTTGGCACCAACCTGGCCACATTGAGTTTTTTCTAGTTTTCAAAGTGCTAAGCCGGGTAGTGGTGGCCCACGCCTTTAATCTCATCACTCAGGAAGCAGAGGCAGTCAGATCTCTGCGAGTTTGAGGCCAGCCTGGTCTACAAAGTGAGTTCCAAACAGCCAGGGCTGTTACACAGAGAAACCCTTTCTTAAAAAACAATACCAAATCCTAAAACCAAAGTGTAGTCTAATTTCTCAGGGATTCTGACATCTTGTTTCTTTCTCTGAGGAAGAATCAAGGGGAACAGCAGGTGTTTGAGAACAGGCTGGGCAGAGCTGGAGAGGCAGCTCAGCTGTTAATAGCACTGGCTGCTCCTGCAGAGGATCTGGGTTCAATTCCCAGGACCCACAACCATGTGTAACTCTAGGTCCCAGGGATCTGCTGCCCTCTTCTGGCCTCTGCACACAGTGCAACAGACATACTGCAGATGAATAAAATAACTTGTTTGTTAAACAAGGACCTGTGGCTGAATGTTTATTAACCTTTATTGTAATATAGATTGATTTCTTTTTGTTTCTAAAAATTTCCTCAGGGGACTGGAGAGATGGCTCAGCAGTTGAGTGTTACTGTTCTTGTAAAAGACCCAGTGTGGTTCCCAGCAGCCACGTGGTGACATGCAACTCTCCACAGCTGCAGTTCAGGGGGATCTGACATTCTCTTCTGCCCTCCATGGACACCAAGTACGAATGTGGTGCAGAACCATACATGCAAGCAAAACATACACATAAAAGTGAATCTAACACTCACCTTGAAATTAGAATTGAGCACAGTATGGGAAAGTGAGTATTGTTGAATACATTCACATTTCCTGTCATTTTGTTTGTATAACACCCAATTTCCTTTCTTCTTTTTTTCATGGCACAACGTTTTATTTGTAATAGTAGTCTAGATTAAAGTTTTAAATTATACATTTTCAAGTGATGTACACCTTAATTCATTTTCCCAGTGCTGGAAATTAAATCTAGGGCTTCTCTGTGCTAGGCAGGGGCTCTACCACTGAGACACACCCTAACACCTAACTGGGGAATTCTAGGCAGGGGCTCTACCACTGAACCACACCTCCAGCCCCTCCCTGGGAGATTCCAGGCAGGGGCTCTACCACTAAGCCACATCCCTTTTTTCTTTTTTAATTTAACAGACCGAGTCTTACTGTGTAGCTAAGTCTGGTCACAGATATTTAAATAGTTTAGCTGTTTTGATGTCTTAAGAAATGTTATGGTAATATTTGTATTAATTAACATTTTCCTCCAGAAGAAATGCAAGGAAATTTTACTACTGTTCCTGTTGTTTAGAAATACTAAATTAAAACACATTAAAATATTTTATTTGTATGAGTGTTCTGCCTGCATATAAGTCTGTGCTCCATGTGTGCCTGAACCCACAGAGGCCAAAAAGGGTGTTGGATCTCCTGGAACTGGAGGTACAATTACTTGTGAGCTGCCATGTGTGTGCTGGGAATTGAACCCAGATCCTCTGGAAGAGCAGCCAGTGCTCTTAACCACTGAACCATCTCTCCAGCCCCTAAAACATACTTTTAATATATAATACTTTGGCTGCTCTTTATGGAAAGTAGATTGTTCAACACATTCTAATTAATCATAGAAGATGTTCAGTTTTTCTCCCATGAGAAAGATAGGATTTCCTTTCTCATAGCTGAGTTACACCCTGGGTGTGTTTACTAACTGCTTTTCATGTTTCCTTCACTATGTGAATGTGCTGTATTGGCAGAATAATGTATTCAGATGGAAAAGTCTAGTTCCTCAGACCAGCCTTGTGAGGCAGCCCTGGCTTCAGTGCACTCAAGAGTCAGGAGGGTGAAGCTCAGACCGCTGAAGTCTGCACAGGGACCAACATCCCTCAGACTCCAAGGGATCCTGTGACTGAGGATGCAGGACCTTCTCCTGGTGAGTGCAAGATGCAGCAGACAAGGAGCCCCTTTCCTGGCTCCCTCTGGAGTGGATCCTCATCTGGGATGACTGTGCTTCATCTGGGGATTCTGAATGTTCAGGGCCAGTTTCCAGATGGAAAATTAAAGCAGCCTCGTTGGCCATGATGGTTCTAAAGCTGATTTCACCCCAGGCAACACGTGGATAGAGGCCCAAGATGATGGTGAGCACCCCACAGTGCACCAGACAGCCCCCACAGCCGAGAAGTATCTGGCACATAATGCCAGGAGTGTTCCGGTTGGGACACTACTGTGCACAGCTAGGCGATGAGGACAGGGTTGGGGATGTGGCTCAGTGGTAGAGCTCTTGCCTAACATGCATGAGGCCCTGGATTCAACCTTTCATCTTCCGGTATCAAAACTTTTAACAATTATGTGATTAAGCAGATGAATTTGCCTGGCATGGTGGTTCACACCTGAAATTCCAGCATTTGGGAGGCAGGGGCAGAGGTGCAAAAATCAGTACAAGGTCAGGGCCATCTTGGTCTACACAGTAATTTCTGATCAACCAAGGCTACAAAACAAGACCTTGTCTCCAAAACCAAAAGGAGCAGTAACAAAAAGCGGGTGAGTGGTGTGGAAACATGGCCTCTGGGTTCTTAGCTCAGGACTTCCTCTCCACTCATCTTTCCACACTTCTCAGAGCTGTCCTTGCAGAAGACCAAGGTTGAAGTTGAGGGTTTGGTGTCAGAGGAGATGGTGACATTCAAGGATGTGGCCGTGGTCTTCAGCGAGGAGGAGCTGGAGCTTCTGGACGCTGCCCAGAAGAAGCTGTACTGTGATGTGATGCTGGAGAACTTCAGGAATGTGGTGTCCCTGGGTGAGGGCAGACACTGGTGCTGAACAAGGTCCATGCAGTTTGGCCCTAGATGTGATCTGAGAATATTGGTTTAAATATTAAGGCAACTCCACGTAGTTAAAAGGGAGGTTTATTCTGTGGGGTAATTTACAAGTGAAAGGATAGGTTACAGGGTCTGGGAAAGGTGTAGCGCAGTCCAGCGGTGTTCTCTGGAGAACTCTGCTCAGTCTAACTCCAGTGTCCAGGATCCAGGAACCAAGAGAGCTGGCCCATCCGGATCTTGGGTCTTCAGGCTTCCTCTTTTGGCTCTTACTTGTAGATGTGACAGTTACCGAAGCCTCAAAGTGGGTGGTACTTTTAGGTCAAAGCTGGAAGGGCTACCCACTACACGAGGCTTTGAAGTAGTTTCTAGATTTCTTATCATCGTGTGATACAGAGTTGGAATCTCCCTAGTTTTATAAATGAAGTGAAAATTGAAAGCATGGGAGTATGCTTTCATCTTTTTCAAATCATAATCTCAATTAGTAGGTGGTGGCACATTCTGAGTCATGCCTACAAACACTATTTTCACTGAAGTAAGTTGAGGCAGCTGGAGAGAGAGCTCATCAGTTAGTGCTGCCTGCTCTTGTAGAGGACCAGATTTTGGTTCCTAGCACCCACATCAGGTGGCTCACAAATACCTGTAACTCCAGCTCCAGAGGATCTGCTGCCCTCTACTGATCTCCATGGGCACCTGCACTCATGCACTCATGCACACACACTAACATATCCACATCAATACAAATCAAAAGAAGTATTTTAAAAATTAAAGTAGAGTTGAGGCCATAACGTGGTCATCTGGTAACAGCACCTGGTCCAAAGGGTAATGACCCCATTTCAATCCCTGGGGCCTACCTGGTGGAGGGAGAGAACCAAGTCCCACCTGTTGTCTCTGATCACCAGTGGTATACACAAATACACATATTAAATAAAAATGTAATGAAACATAAAATACCCTGGCAGTCTATCTAGGTCATGGCCAAGAACAGTTCGAGAGACTAGGGAGAGGAGATAATGAAAATAGACATTTGTCAAGTAATGTATACTAAAGCCTGTGTCTGTATGTTTAGGGGCTTTTCAAACAATGTGTATCTTCCACTGACTTGTATTATAGGTTGGGGAAGAATAGGTTTGATGTCCTGAAGCAGATGCAGTGGAATACTTGTTTTTAGGACTTGGGACTCTGCTGTGTTGATTTCAAATATATTCCTCACAGGGCATCAGATCGTGACTCCAGATGTTTCACTCCAGCTCAAGAGAGAAAACATGCTTTGGATGTTGACGATGGTCAGTTGGAGCTGTGAGTCTGCAGGTGAGAACAGAGTGACTCATCTATCCTGCTCTCAGTCTGTGCACAACTTTGGGGTGTCCATCCCGCTCTCAGGATCAGTTTCCAGTTGTACTGGCTCCCTTGACTTAGTCACACGATGCTTTTCCTCTCCATCTGGATGGCTCCTTGTGGATGTATGCACATGTGTATACATTTGCATATTTATACACACACACACGTGCTAGGAGGCCACAGATCAATATTGTTATCCTCGTTTGATTTCCTTTATATTTTTAAAAATTATGTTTATTTATGTGCGTGATGAGCACACATACTGCAATGTCACTCATTGTGATGCTTTGTATGGGTCTCATTCATAAATATGGGAGTCTTGGCTTCTAGAGTGTGTAGGTGAGATGACAGGACACAGGATGTTCAAGGGAAGGGGAACCATTCTCTGGTTCAGTGAAACCTTGGGCTGCACTCTTTTTTTTTTCTTTTAATTATGAATGTCCGGTCTTAGCTTGGCTTGTTGCTAGCCAGATTTACTTATCTTAAATTATCTCATCTACATTTTGCCTCTGTGCTTTTCTCGTTCTCTTATTTTGTAAATCTTACTCTCATTCCATGGCTTGCTGTGTAGCTGGGAAGGCTGGCCCCTGGGTCCTCCTTCTTCTCTGGCTACTTCCTCTTTTTCTTCTCAGATTTCTCTTTCTGTCAATTCTTTTTGCCCGGCAGCCCTGCCTGTCCTTTCTCCTGCCTTGCTATTGACTACTCAACTCTTTATTAGACCATCAGGTGTTTTAGACAGGCAAAGTAACACAGCTTCAAGGAGTTAAACAAATGCAACATAAATAAAAGTAACACTTTAAATACTATTCCCCAACATTTCTCCCCTTTTTTCTAAACAAAACCAAAAAGTTTTAACTTTAACATAGTAAAACTGTATACAATAAAAACAATTATCAGGTAAAGATCACATTCACAATGTACTGAATTCTAATTCATTTATGTCTGGTAAAGTTAAAGAAAATATTCCATAATCTATCCTATCTTAGTAAATCCAAATTTTCATACCTAATTTACTTTCATATCTAAGGAAAACTGCAACTATAACTATCTAGTCTTCAACTCTACCCAAGACCCAGAAGGATGCAATATTATCTAACAATAGAGACATCGGGCTGCCTGACCAGTCAGTCACCCAACATTCCTCTGCAACATTGGGGCATCCATCTTCAGCCGTCAGGCCCATAGTGTCTGGCAGACCTTTCAATGAAGCAAGAAATTTGAAAGACTGTCCTGCCTATATTGGCAAAGTTTGTCAGTCACTTTCCTCTGTGTCCTGTAGAATCTCTGACAGTTTCTTCTGTGAAGTAGGAACCCTGAAGGACCATCCTACCTTGTTTTGGCAAAGTTCAGTAGTCACTTCCTGTGGGTCCTGCATGTCTAGTTTATACAACATACTATCAAGCTGTCGAGGCATGAGCAGCTTCTTGCTCAAATGGCTAGCCTTGCCACACTGAAAGCAAACTCCATAAGGAGTTTGTTTGATGCCCAACATGCAGCTGTCTTTTGCTTCTCAACAAACAAAAAATTCAAAATTGACACAATAACACACAGGATTCAGACTCCCTGTATATTTCCCATCTCTACGTGGCTTATTCCTTTTTATATTACTTTACTTCTCTCTTTAAAGACTTTATTTTTTGCCGGACAGTGGTGGTGCATGCCTTTAATCCCAGCACTCAAGAGGCAGAGCCAGGCGGATCTCTGTGAGTTCTAGGCCAGCCTGGTCTACAGCGTGAGATCCAGGACAGGCAGGACTACACAGAGAAACCCTGTCTCAAAAAAAAAACAAAAAAAAAAACAAAAAAACAAAAAAAACCCAAACAACTATTTATTTAAACTATTCATTTTTTTTTCTATGAATATACCTTTTTTCTTTTCTTAAGCCTACACACATTGTAAAATACACTAGAACCTATTTAGAGGTTGTTTCCATCTGGACTTTTTTACTGTGTATCCTTTAGCCGTTTTGACCACATGAACAAACTTTAACTTAAGAAGCATTATGGACCTCTGCCCATGGCTTTGGCGACTGACTCTGCCTATTTCTCAGGTTGTGAAAGCCAAGCCTAAACACACAGCCCAGGTGGAGGTAGGTGACTGAGAATTCCATTCAACCTTCCTAGAGTTCTAGAATGCCAGCGCTTGTGCAGTGGCAGGCTTTTCTTACTTAGTTCTTTGTTCCTACTTAATATAGTAGCTGCTCAAGGTCTCACTAGCAGGCAAAAACTCTTTAAAGAGCCATTTTTTTTTTCTTCTCAGCTTTCTTAACCCCTATGTGGAAATTCAGGCCCACGTTGGAATGCCAAAATGTTGTTGGTTGCTTTTGCTCTTTTGGGGGGCCCACCACCCAGCTCCCAAATAAATCACACTCAGAGGCTTATTCTTAATTATAAATTCTGGTCTCAGCTTGGCTTGTTGCTAGCCAGCTTTATTTATCTTAAGTTATCTCGTCTATCTTTTGCCTCTGGGCTTTTCCCATTCTCTTACTTATGGAAATCTTACTCTTACTCCATGGCTGGCTGTTAGCTGGGTGGCTGGCCCCTGGGCCCTCCTCCTTCTCTGGCTACTTCTTCTTTTCTTCTCAGATTTTTCCTTCTATCAATTCTCTCTGACTGCCAGCCCCGCCTATCCTTTCTCCTGCTTGGCTATTGGCCATTCAGTTCCTTATTAGACCATCAAATGTTTTCGACAGACAAAGCAACACAGCTTCACAGAGTTAAACAAATGCAACATAAACAAAAGTAACACAGTTTAAAATAATATTACCCAACACATCTCTGCAGAACTAACCTGAATTAATCTGGACTCTGAATAGGACCAAGTATGTATGGGGCGTCTATGGCTTTTGTAGTTTAAATCCAAAATATACTCTGTAGGTTCACATTTTGAATGCTTGGGTCCAGCTAGTGCCACTTTTGGGAGGCTGAAGAACTTTTAAGAGCTGGGGCCTACCTAGAGGCAGTAGGGTTAACAGAGCTATCCTTTGGAATGCTGTAGTCTATAGACTGTGGACTTAACTACATAACCCCGACAGCAGCGAACAGAGCACCCACACGCCCTACCTCTCTCTGAATTCTCTTTATGCTTTTAGGAGCCAGGAATCTGAATGAGATGGAGTCCCTTCAGGAGGCAGGATGGAGGCACCTGCCCCGGGAAGAACTTTTCTGCTCACGCATCTGGCAACAAGTTACCAGGGAGTTAACCCAGGGTCGAGACTGCAGGGGGAAGGATGGAGGAACCGGCTCTGCGTTGGGGAAACAGGATGCTGTGCAGAGCGAAGGAGCGGAGCTCAGTAAACTTTCCAGGAGGAATTCATTTCTTCAAGTTCACCATGGAGAATGCCGCAAAGAAGAGGCATGTGAGGAAGATGCTGGTTGCAGTCGTCATCTTCCTGCCGTTCCAGGAGAGAAACCCTCCAAGTGTGGAACTGGGACAACACCTTCCGTCGGGTCTCCAGTCTTCAGTCCCATCAGAGTCCGCAGAGACACAGATCGACCCAGTCTGAAGCACTGTTTAAAAATCTCAGTCAAAGGCCACTATTTCAGTATCATCAGAGCGTCCCCACTGAAGAAAACTCAAACGGATATGAGGAGTGTGGGAATCTTGGGAAAGACTCACATGGTCAGACACCCCTGTTAGTCCACACAGGAGATGAGGCCTATAACTGTGAGGAGTGTGGGGCAAGCTTCAATCAAAGCTCGTGTCTTCAAGTCCATCAGAGTCCACGCTGCAAAGAAGCCTTGTAAGTGTGAGGAGTGTGGGAAGGGCTTCAATGTAGGCTCACACCTCCAAGCTCATCAGAGAAGCCACGCCAGAGAGAAACCATACAAATGTGAGGCGTGTGGGAAGGGCTTCTGTCGGGCCTCTAATCTTCTGGACCATCAGCAAGGCCACACTGGAGAGAAGCCGTATCAATGCGGTGCTTGTGGGAAGGGCTTCAGTCGGAGTTCTGATTTTAACATTCATATTAGAGTCCACACGGGAGAGAAACCCTGCATATGTGAGGCGTGTGGGAAGGGCTTCGGTCAGGCCTCAGACCTTCTGGCCCATCAGAGAGGCCACACTGGCGAGAAACCCCACAAATGTAACACGTGCGGGAAGGGATCTACAAATGTAAGAAGCTCTTCCTACATGTGGGAAGAGCTTCTGTCAGAGTTCAGATCTGAACGTTCATTGTAGAATCCACACAGGAGAGAAACCCTACAAATGTGAGAAGTGTGGGAAATCCTTCAGTCAGTTTTCAAGTCTCCAAGTGCATCAGAGTCCACAGCGAGGAGAAACCGTATCAGTGTGCAGAGTGTGGGAAGGGCTTCAGTGTAGAGTCACACCTGCAAGCCCACCAGAGGTCCCATACTGGAGAAAGACCCTATCAATGTGAGGAGTGTGGAAAAGGTTTCTGTCGGGCATCCAATTTTCTAGCTCACCGTGGAGTCCACACAGGAGAAAAACCATTCCCATGTGACATGTGTGGAAAACGCTTCCGGCAGAGGTCCTACCTCCAAGACCACCACAGGGTCCACACTGGAGAGAAACCGTACAAGTGAGAGGAGTGTGGGAAAGTCTTCAGCTGGAGCTCCGGTCTCCTGGTTCACCAGCGAGCCCATGCTGAGGAGGAATGTGGTAAGGGCCTTTCTTCATCAGAGGATTCATACAGGAAATAAGCTCTACAAGCTTACATTTTAATATTTCAAGAGGATGCTGAACTCTCTGGTCTGAGCTGTCAAAGGGCACAGGAAAGTTATCTCATAATTGGGAACGTATATTAGCTAGAGCTACAGTGGACTGTCACAGTATTTGGGAGACTAGACATGAGAGGAACTAGTCAGAATGGACCTTTTGTCATTTCATCCAGAACCTTGACCCTTATCAGATCCATCCATGCAGACAAGATGCCCAGGAAAGATGAACCTGGCCTGGAATTAACTAGAAGCACAAGCCTTTTCAATAGGATTTAAACTCCAGTAGAATGGAGACATCATTCAGAGCCAAATCTGACCCATGTTTTTAATGCCTCACATGTTGGGTGCTTTCTAGCCCCACAGGGTTTGTTATGGGACTTGGTCTCATGTACCCCAGGGAACTCCTGATTCTCCTGCCTCCACCTCCATAGTGCTGAGATCATAGACATGCACCACCACACCCAGCACTTAGCTAATTGTTCACTGGGCCAGACCGGATTTGTTGAATTCCAAATTCAAATCCACAAGTCTTTTTCCCTTGGCTCGAATCACCATATGTTAACGAACATGCAATTACCATTAAGTATCACCAAGAATGTGAGTGGGTGGAAATTGCAGGGTATCGTGTACCTGCCAGTCAGCTGTGCTGTGGTGGCAGTTGTTGTTATTGCTTTGGACATTTCCTCAGCGTAAAAATAGATTATTGCTACAACCCCGTGACCCGTTACCTGGGTATTTAAGTTGTTAAAATTCTGAGATAGAATATCAACTCTACTTAACACCTGTTGAGATGTCACTAGGTCAGGTGTTATGGCACAGGTTAATGATCTCATGATCTCAACACTCTAGAAGTAGTGACTGTAGGGAGTCAAGAGTTCAAGACCAACCTCAGCTACATAGGGAGAATGGGGCCAGCCTGGGCTTACATTAGATGCTGTCCCCAAAACCACCACCTCAATTCCCTCCATAAAAAAAAACCCAAAAAAGTTATCAAGATGAGAAAACAGGAAATTATTGTGGCAAAGAAAAGAGCCTCCCACACTGTCTCATTTTGTTGTGTTTAATCATTTGTCTGGGAGGCTCATTGTGTGTGTGTGTGTGTGTGTGTGTGTGTGTGTGTGTGTGTGTGTGTGTGTTGTAGAGGCCCACAAAGGTTCCTAGTGAGATCTGAGGTTGCTTTACCCAGCACAGCTGCATTAGAGAATTGCTTGACCACATGTGTGGTTACCAGGTGATTGGAAAGGGTCTGCACTTGGCTGTGCTGGGGGAAGGTCTTTGGCTCCACCCCTTGGCATTGCTATAAATAGCTTTTTAGAAGAGACAGAAGGGGCTGGTGGATAAAGATCCAGGCCCTCCCAAGGCTATCCTATGTTTCTATCTGTTTCTCTCCCCTCTATCCTTCTATCTAAATCTCTTATCCCTCAGTCCTCAAGAGTACCCTGGGGGAAAATGTGGGAGCCCGTCTCCCAGCTGGTCTCCCACAGTATATGTGTGTGTGTGTGTGTGTGTGTGTGTGTGTGTGTGTGTGGTCAGCTTTCAAGAGTCGGTTTTCAAACCTGGTGGTGGTGGTTTAATCCCACACTGGAGGATCTCTGTAAGTTTGAGGCCAGCCTGGTCTACAAAGGGAGTTCCAGGACAGCCAGGACTACACAGAGAAACCCTGTTCTGAAAAATAAAACAAAACTCAGTTCTTTGCCATCACATGGGTCCAGGGATTGAACTCGGGTCATCAGGCTTGGCAGCAAGCTCCTTTACCCATAGAACCTTTTCTCTGCTCCAAATCTGCTGCTTTAGCTGCCAATACCACCTCCCAGTAGCATGTGACTTTGGGGGACACTTAAGATGCAGCCATCACACTGAGTGATGTGGACTGAGACATACTCCAACCCTGCAGTCCACACTGAGAGCTTCCAATGGACCTCATGGTGTTCTGTCGGCCAAGGGGTGTGAATTCAGGTTACACTTGGAATGGGTCTCCTTTATTTATTTTGTTTTTTAGTGTAGCCCTGACTGGCCTGGAAGACTCTGTAGAGCAGGTTAGCCTTGAACTCACTGAAATCGGCCTCCCTCTGCCTCCCAAGTGCTGGGATTAAAGACGTGTGCCACCACACCAGAGTTTTATTATTATTGTTATTATTATTATTTTTTGTGTATGAGTATTTTGTCTGTGCATCATGTGTGTGCAATGCCCCACAGAGGCCAGAAGAGGGAGTCAGGTTCCCTTTAACTGGAATAACACATGGTTTTGAGCTGCCATGTAGGTGCTGGGAATTGAACCCATGTCCTCTGGAACAATAACCAGTACTGTTAGTCTCTGAACCATCTCTCCAGCCCATAATTTAAAACAAACAAACAAAACAAAAAAAAAAACCTGAAAGATAAAAAGTGAGTAGCGGATGGTGGGCACAGAGATTTGACACCAAGATCTTTCCAGGCGATCTCAGTATAGTGGGGAAGCCTGCCATCCCAGCATTTGGAAGTGTGGGGCTCAGAGGATCATGAGACAAAAGCCAACTTGGGCAAGCTTCAGGCCAGCCAGGGCTAAGGAGATAACTCAAGTCAGGGTCGTTAGCCCTATGAGCATGGCAACCTGACGGTGGACACTGTGGCCAGCAAAAGAGAATGGAGTCCAACCAGTCCCTAAGGCTCAGGAAGCAGCTGGCCTACTCATGAGCTCCAGATTCAGTGAAAGAGCCTGTCCTTTTACATTTATTTATTTGTGTGTGGACCTGCCTGAGGGAGGGAGCCAATTCTCTCCTTCTATCATGTCATGTCTGTGGAAGGGAGTCAGGTCATCGGGTTTGGTGGCAGGTTTTACCCGCTGAGCCATCTCAGCAGCCTGAGAGAGTCTCGGTTAAAACACAAGGTGCTTGAGCCAACTGCGGTGGCAGAGGCCAACCTGGTCTACAGAATGAGTTCTAGGCCAGCCTTGTCTCCATTGTGGAAACCTATCTCAACAATCAAAACAAGACGCATGCTGCCCGAGAAGGAAAGACACCAGTGGTTAACCTCTGGTTTCTATGCAGACATATACACATGGCATGTACACCAGCATGCACATGAGTGTACACACACACACACACACACACACACACACACACACACACACACACATACTTTTTAGAAAGAAAGACTTAACTACTGCTGTCGGAGCCCTTGGTTGTAGCTCCATCCAATGGGGGTCTACATGCTTCTCAGGTGACTCCCCTGGGGTACACTGAACCTGGTATTGAAACGACATCACACTTGGACCACCCTCAGCCAGTCCAGTGTTCTTCTTTCCCTTCTGAAGCTGTTGGTCCCAGGTCATTGCTGCCTCAGAGTCTGCCCCCAGGAGCATCTGCCTTGCAGACCATAGATGGAATCTTCATGTGCCGCTGTAACGCAGGGCTTGAGGTTGAGCATCTTACATAGAAGAGAGGTTTCTTTGTCCCCAGATGCTGGTAGAGCCAGGACGGCACCAGAGTCCTGACAAGTTCCCTCTCACGGGCATCCTGTGACACAGGGTGATGCGGAGCATGTGGGGTGACCTTGCCTTATGCTGTCATACTCCCGTAAGAGCTAACTAGTGCAGTGACACTGGGCTTGGCCCACTTTGAGTGACAGCGTGAGTCCATTCATCAGGGTGGAATCCCCCATGATGTAAGTCATTTGCATCTGCCCCACCTCTTGAGATTTGTCCCATTCAGCACCAGGCCCCTCGAGCAAGCCTCCTGGGGGCAAACAACCACATCCAGCCTATAGCAGACAAACAGCACTGACCCCATGTTGTTTGAAGAGGAGGAGGTGGAGTTTGCACCTGTGAGAGCGTGCCACACCCCAAACGAAGATCTTTTGCTATCTATCCAAGGTAATTCAAAGGTGGTCCCTAGTAGACATCTGTGGGCCCTTGCTCATTCATAAGAGCTTTATTCACTAGAGCCGGCACATGGAAACAGCCCAGGTGTCCACTGATGGACGGATGGGCAAGATAATGTGGTATATCCATACAACGGAATATTACTCGGTCTTAAAAAATAAGAAAGCCAAATGTGGCTGTCATCACAGCACTTGGGAGGCTGAGGCAAGAGGACCATCAGTTCTGAGATATTGTATCAAAAA